GAACATGCTTAAAACACAACTTCAGTCAGGGATCATTGGGAAGCCCTCCATTGCAGCCAGTGCAAAAGGTACTGGAGCATTGAGTTTTTCTCCAACCCATGAAGAAAATGAAAGAAAAGGAAGAAGTTCAGTAAAATCCAGAATGACAAGAAAAAGCCTTACTAAATGTGAACGTGTGACACAAACAGAAATATTCGCACCGGTATCTACCGCTACCGCTGAACATGCACAAGTATCACGGAAAGCGTGCCAGCAGATAACCATGTGAGTACGTGTTTAATAAGTTCCTGTTTTCGTTTGTCTGATCTCTTTATTTCGTTTGTATAATGTAGAATCTTTTCACACTTGTACATCTCTAGGATCTGCCAACCTATATTTTTGGTTAGTCGTAGACGAATGATATGTCGATGATCCTTCATTTGATATATGAGAGAAAATATAATGGACTGTCTAATTTGTGACAGAGATTCTATTGTTAAACCTTTTCAAGGATTGTCTTTCTCTAGGGAGGGATTGAGAACGAGCTCCTACGTACGCTGGCCAGTTACCGTGCATTTTTCTTAGTTGTTTTTGTCACATATGCTACAACCTATATACACTTGAATTACTTCATATGTTTATGTAATAGAGACTTTAAAAAATTCCTCTTGCTTTCAGGATCCGGCACTCTGACCATCACAGACCACTTGCTGAAGTAGAGGAAGGCACTTCAAAAGAAGAAAAGACGGACTGGAATAATGGGGAATGAATATTACAGCCAGAAATATTATTGCATTTAGTATGCGAGGCGAAGAATCCTCTTTCCCTTAAAATGTTAAATGGCATAGAAATTAAAGAGCGGATGTGTCACGGCGGAACATGGTTTTTAATCATGAACTCTTATAACGTTTTTTTTTTGGGTATTATATATTTACAACTCTATAATGCATATATAATGCTCGCATTAGTTACAGCATTAGATATTTCCAAGATGAAGGCACCTTTCCGATGAACACATACCTATACTCTACAGAGTAATCCGATATGCAAGTGATATTCCCATTTGAAAACGGGCTGCACCGGTTTTGAACAAATGTACATTGTCATTGCAAGTAGAGATGGTACATGTATACATGTGGTGGCAATATTCATGAATATCGTTATAAGCTAATAACAGTGATACTAATACAGTTGAATATATTATTAAAAGGTACTTTTCAGTTTGTAGACATGCTTGTCCAGGAGGACAGCAGCGAGACATGTAAAATCACCTCATTTGTGATTTTAATAAAAATATATGATATTCAAATCAATTATGTCAATTTAAATGTAAATACGTTAAGGATGGAAGAAATAACTAGAGGACCTGTTATATCCCCGGGAGAGGGGGAGAATTTTGAGGGATCACACGGTTTTTCAGGGGAGCACACGGTTTTTCAGGGGATCACACGGTTTTTCAGGGGATCACACAGTTTTGTAGGAGTAAAGGAGAAAACATTTTTTGAAGATTTTCAGTCAAAAGTGGACAGTAACTTTGATAGTTTTCGTCAATATTTTATTTTCTTTACCCTTATATTAAACAAGAAATTGCGATTAATTAAGATTAAATATTGGAGCCCAAAGAATATATTACAAATCATTTTTAAAGAAGATAGAAACACATCAGGGGCACGGCTGAAATTTAGCAATTCAAGGTAAGTAGGATTTCTCTCACTATAGTTTTGCAATAAAGAGGTTCTGAGATCTGTCTTTAATTTCAAAACGCGTTTTATTTTTTATTACGCCACACCGTTTCACTGAAGGGGAATATCAAGGACACACCCGAAAGGCGTGATAGATTTACGTTTCTGGAAACACTCCTTAAAGTTGATTTTATGCTGACATGAAATATGCCACGATGAAACACACTCTCTGATTTAGATGATTGCTGATTTCTTAATGTTGGTGTTTTTTTTTCTATTTATCGGTTCCAAAGTAAAGCCAAAAACTAGTCTGGAATTTCCCGCCCGTATTGCAACCTGGGCAATGAAGAGAAACCAGTTCAATGTTTGTGCAACAATCGTTTCCTCGTCAACTGAGTTATATTCACACTTCATACATACAAATATATATTTTTAAACCTTCGGTGTTAGCTTCGCCGGCTAAACTGATGTGACCGCTCACAGTTATTTTCTAGAGCGTTCGTCACTAAAATTATCAAGGAGCAATTTCGTTTGCACTTGAATGTTCTTTCGAAATTCCGCAAGTAAGTGCATCCGTGGTGAAGATAGACTTCTCGGAACGACAAATCCATAATCCATTAAAACGTTGTCTTACAGAAAACAATTTCGCTCACTTTTCTTCTGGCCGGGTTGTATTAGTTGTGTATTTCGTACTAATTTTAGACGGGCTTTTTTTTATGCGTAAATCTCAGCATGTTTGAAATAAGCCAATATTATCGCATGACCCATACGGCCACGCGCACACAATAGTGAAATTGCTGATTTGTGTAGGACCGAACGGGTTGACACGAGCTGGTCCTGAAGAGATATGTCATTACCTTCTTAGCAATCTTGAGCAAAGACACTGTTTTTTTTTTTGCTTCAGCCACTAAAAAAGCAATTATTGGATGAGTTTGAGCATATATTAGCAAAACCGAAGCAGAAGGCTGAGGCAAATAACACAGAGTTTTGATAATTCACGATAAAATGCGAAAGCCGAATTCATTAATCGTTTTATTACAAACGTTTTAAACAATCTGAAAAAGAAGACACTTCTGTTT